GTCTCCATCCCTGGAGGTATTTAAAGAACGGATAGATGTGATGCTCGAGGACATGGTATAGATGGACTTGGCAGTGCTAGCTTAACGGTTGGACTCGATGATCTTAAGGGTCTTTTCCAACCTTGACGATTCTATGATTCTATGATCCTATGAACTGCTTACAATAATCGGAGGTCATCAAAGAGCACTTCTCCCTGAAACATGGGGAATCAAAAAGTCAAACGGGTAAGAAAATGGCAACCAGTGCTGGGCAGTGGGCCAACTGCATTACCACTGGGCCAGTGCAGTAAACAAGTTGGATTATAATGCATTGCCAGTGCGGGAGAAGGCTGGATGAGCCCTTGGCTGATGCAGGGATGCTGCGCTGGTAGAGAACAGGCTGTTCCTGTAACGCATTTGAGCTGTCTCTGTGGGGACAGGAGTGACACAGGGGACTGTTTACCTTAATGATTTAACACTACAAGGTGGGCAGATGATTCCAGGGTCTATTTCTCTACAGTGCTTCTGTTTGCTATTGCCAGTTTTTCTTAAGTTCACAATAGCAGCCTCAGGTCATTGCTGGGTGACCCGGCTCTGGTTTCTGGCCTGCCTGGCTGTTGGTGGGGGCTTGCTCTAGCAAAGCCTGAGGAAGAACTAGAGTGGAAGGAAAGCATGTTTTAATTTCCAAACCCCACAGAGGCTGCAGTGGACAACAGCAGCACTATTGTGTTCTCTGCAAAACCTGTTTTCCTGCCAAGTCTAGAAGGGAGCGAGGAGCTGCTTGCCCCCTGTGGGGAAACAGCGCAGACCACACGTAAGCTAGGATTGACTAGAAAGACCTCAGAGTTCCCTTCTCAGCCATACAAAAAGTACAGTGCGAGTCTGAAGAGATGTATGCAGGGGGGCAGAGGAAGGGATAAAATAGGCAGAATTGGAAGGAAGCCATACATAACTTTCTAGAGTACCAACGCTAGAAGTGGATGCACCCGAGCCTCTATTCAGATGAGTATTTGTCTGTGTTGCATGTGCAATGGCCATTTAATCCACCAACAAAAGGTCACTATGAATGCAATGCAGAATAGTGCTGAAACTTCAACTCACAAAATTTATTTATAGTGTGGAAGTGCAGGAACAGAATTTGTAATTTTAGCTAACTTGCGAAATTAAAGAAACATTTCTGGAGTATGTCCAATATCCTCACGGTTCTTGAAATGTACTTACTCCATAAAACAAAAGTGTAACATCTGTATATCTGTAATGTTTCCGTGTGTGTGTATTACTGATTTGGCAGAATTCACATTTTAACATTTAGAGTATGACGATGAATGTTAAAAGATTTTCCTGGATAAGCAAACAATGAAACTACTTTTCCTTCAAGACATATGCTGAACAAGTGTGATACCTGCTGAGGAAATTGCTCTTTACTCTTTAAAAATCAAACATTACCAATGAAATAGTTATTATTTACTCAGAATATCAGAGAGAGCTTTTTAACAGAACAGCATTTGCCTCCTTCCCCCCCAGTGATTGTTATAGGAACTTTTGGGCTTTTATCGTCTTAATTATCACTTAAGTTGCCATGCACATCGTCTCTCTTGCTTGGAAGGAAAAGTGGTTTCTTTGAAACTGTTAAGAACCTTTGCAATTTCATAGTTTGGTTGGTGCTTATTTCACTGCTGCCTCAAACTTGTCTTATTGCCAGAGAAAAAGAATTCAAAACACAAGCAGTTAAAATACCCAACTAACAATGTTTTTCCTTTCTCCCTTTGAATCTGAGCAGCCCTCCTCTACACAGATCATAGTCCAATAGGGCTGCTAGTGTAGCCAAAGCAGAGAAACATGGCACTGTCTAGAAATGCAAACATCTTATAAAACTACAAGATCCCAAATTTGCTGGGAGGTGGGAAGATGAAGCCCATTTTGGTTTTCAGCATTTCTCATTAGAGAGCTCTTCAACCTCATCACTTCCACCTTGGTGACGAAGGCCATTGATGACTGTGGTCATCAGTGCTTACAATACAGTATCAGTTTCACAAGATTGTATACCGATACCTAATTTTGGATATACTGCTGAAGATAGTTTTGACTATTTAGTGATAATAATCAGTAAGAACTAACCATTAGCGTGGAATGTATTAACAAATATTAATTGGATAAAGTTTTAAGTTTATAACTTACCTATCGATTTTCTAAATACTCTTAGTGAACCCTAGCACACACGAATATGTATATTTGTGTATTAGGAGATATCGCGTATTAGGAAAAACTTCTTCACCGAAAGGGTAGTCAGGCACTGGAACAGGCTGCCCAGGGAAGTGGTGGAGTCCCCATCCCTGGAGGTATTTAAAAGCCGGGTAGATGTGGTGCTTGAGGACATGGTTTAGTGGTGGACTTGGCAGTGCTAGGTTAACGGTTGGACTTGATGATCTTAAAGGTCTTTTCCAACCTGAACAATTCTATGATTCGATTCTATGACTCTATATAAATACATATATACACATTCAGCTGCAAAGCAAGTGGCAATGTTTCCATACGTATTAGTGTATCTGTATTAGTGTATTAGTGTTTCAGTTCACCATAGGCAGCACTTCCCATAAGCAGCCCACCAACCCTTGCGCACACATGCGCACCTGGAACAGCGCGTTGGTGAGGAAAGCGTTTTGCATCGTCGAGGTGCACGGGCACAGCAGGCCACTTCGGACCAAGCAGGCCTGCACGCATGCCCTGCGCAGGAGCCTGGCTTTGCTTCTGACCTTACTTTTATCAGGCCTGCAGGACTCCCGCTGCCCGACGGCAGGCCAGGGCGCGGGCACTGCACCC